AAAGGATACGATATCGTCGCAAATGCCATAGGTTCTCTTGGTGAGAGGTTTGAGTTGACCTTTGTTGGCTCATCTCCTGGAGAACATAAAAATGTTGAACAATGGTTTCTTAAAAAAACTTACATCAACCCCAACCAACTATACATCCATGGATATTGCAATGATCCAGAGGTACTTAAGACGATGTTATCCTCTGAAAGGCTTTGGGCTTGTTGCCCTCGAAGCCATCTCTGCTGCTGTTCCTGTTCTTGTTTCTGGAGAATCTGGCAAAGCTGAGGCTTTGAGAAAAGTTGAAGGGGGAAGGACTGTTATTGTTGGATCATATAAAGACGTAGACGAAGCTAGAGATGAATGGGCACGAAGGATTAGAGAGATGTCGGAAGAAAGTGTAGAAGAGAGAGAAGCTAATGCCAGGCAGCTTTGTGAGAACTACAGGAAGGTTTACTCTTGGAAAGCAGAGTGTACAAGGTTTAAAGAGATGATTGAGAGTGTAATAGAAAGTGTAAATGGTAGGTTCAGCACTTATTGAAACAGTTCAAGGTTTTCTTGCTTGAATACACTGCTGCAATTACATTCCCCAACCCTAACCCCAACCCTAACCCTAATCTTAACTCCAACCAGTAAAATGAACATTTGCTAAAATGTGGACACCTTAAAAACACAACTTTATGTTCTACAGAGTACACTGTACATGTAAAACATCAAATAAATAAGAATGAGCTGTGCGCTTAAAAATTTTAAACCAGTTTGAAAATTCTAATCCAGTTTAAAATTTTTAAACCAGTTTAAGAAAAATTAAACCAGAGGTAAAATTTGAACCACAACATATACTGACTATCATCCAGTATGTTAGAGGTTTTAACATGATATTAATTGTTTTAAGTGGATTTGAAGTACAATTTTAACATAGACACCTTGCTTCAAATCAACAGATGGAAAATTAAATATCAAGGTTGATGTGGAACACATGAAACTTGCAGATCATGACACTTCCAGTACACCTTCAGTTTCCACAATGGAATCCGCAGGATGTCAAATGGCATCCACACCTCCAGGCACAAACAGAAAAAGACAATCTGATACAGATTTAGAAGATCTCCAACCATTTGAAAAGAAAGTCCTATGCCGAATTGCTATGAATTACCTTGACACTACACCACCACGGAGCAGGGATGAACGCAGTGAGTTTCAGGAATACTTGCAAAAAATGAAGGTCCTTATCACAGGTGTTTCTGTAGGAAGTTTGGTGATAACAGTTAAATGTGATTCTCTCAAGAGCTTGGAGGAATTATGGGAAAATTACTCATGCGGCCTTTTGAATAAGATGGTTCAAGATTGTTTTGTTACTGAAAAGGTCTTGAAGGAACTGCACCTGGTAGAGCTTAAGCTGAAGACGACAATGGACATAGAGGAGTACAATGCATGCAAACTGTACTTTGAGAAGGATGTAGTCAGAGGTGTGTAAAAAGAAAGAAACAAGGTGGAGTCCTTTGAAAAAATTGTTTTGAAAAGATGGCAAACTCAATCCATGTACCACAGGGTTTACACACATGAAGGGAGGGGTGCAGTTTTTAATCACGATAGAACCAACTGTCTTATGAGTTAGCTGACTTTCTTAATATGTGAGCCCTAACAAAATTAATGCTTGAAGTGATTTGTTTTCAAGACAATTCCTTTGATGTTTTTGTTCTTTTTAAACATCATGACCCTGTTGATTAACCTGTTATCATTTCCTATATTTTCCTCTCTGTCTGGTTCTATTTGTCTTTGATCTATTTATAAAATTATATAATAAATTAAAATAAACTGAGAAATATTAATTGGCAAGATCTATATTGGAGGAGCTATGAAAGAAAGTGTTACCGGTTTTTGTGTGACTGTGTGGTTTTTGTAAAAAGGATTTGAGGTATGTTTCATGCTTTAATATGTCATTATTCAGTGATTGCTTCACTATTTGTTTTCGTATAATTTGCTTTTAGGTGTTTTATCCTCTGAATTCCACTCCATAAGTTCAACCAGTGAAAGTTCACAAAAACAAGAAGAGCTGAAAAAATGGAAACAGAAGACAAAGATTGAGGAGACGGTGGAAATGAAAGGTGAAAACAAATTGAAAAACGTATCAAGTTATTGTCATGGAAAGTTGTTGTGAACATGCAATAACAATTAACTCCTTATAAGTCAGTGTATGTTCAGTGTTTTCAGCTATTATGCCAAGGGTAAAGTAGAGTTCTGTCGTGATTAAACAGTTAAGGTTGCTTGAAAAAATGGTCTTTTAAGTTGACTCAGTTGATCATCTCTTTCAACTGGTATCAGACTAATGTGGAAGACTGATGTCAAGATGGTTTTGCTGGCCCATTTAAGTGTAGGGAGGATACCAGTTTCATCTAAAAAATATTTGCAAAAGTGTATCTCTCTTTCATCATGGAGTGGGTTTTAAAACTGTTACAATCATTATGAAGAATTGGTTTTAGTTTTCTATCAAGATAGAACATGTTGTCTAATTGAAAATGTTTATGTGCTGACTGTCTAAGTCCTGCTATAAGTGATTTGTTCACAAGATGTTAGTTTGTATCTAAATGTTTGTTTAGAGTCAGTTGAACTTTCTTCATTTCTTAATACTTGTTGGTCTGTCTGTTTGTGTTAAAAGAAAAAACTAAATTCAGTTAATTATTGCTTGAAATAGTGCTTTTTTTCCTTTTGGCTGAGTTAAATTTTATTTTGAATTCTTTATGAAATTTATTTGAAAAGAATCAACGAGGAAATGATATCAGGAAGCAGTAGTTTTGGTTGATAAAATTGATTAAATGTGGGTTATCTGCCGCCCAATAATAAGATCTGTGTAACTGTCATACAATATTATCGGAAATGCAGTTTTTAGTGTCTGAATGGTAAACTCACATAATTGGTTTTCTTTTAAATTTTATTCCAGGTGCTTTGTCAGCTCAGTCATACTCCACAGGTACTGAAGATGAGGCACAGATAGAAAGATGGAAACAGAACACAGAGGTTGTGGAGTCAGAGAAAGTGAAAAGTAAACACAACTGAATCTAAAGCTTACTATTCAGAAATTTAATAAAATCATTTTGCAAATTACAGATTTCCATTTCATTTTGTTTTGTATGTGTCAGTTAGTCAATCAAACAATGTGTCTCACAATGAAAAAAAAAAATTTCAAAAAGGTTTGCTCCAAAACAAAATTACCGTACAGAATCTGCAATATTTGCTTTCTTTAAGTTGTTGACTTTATCTGAAGGGCTATTTTTGTTTATTTGAAAAGAGAACAATGGACTGTTTGAATCAGTGACTTAAATTAAGCCAAAAAGAGCTGCTAATTTGGAAAGCGAACTAGCTGTGAGGTTACTCAATTGAACATTGGAAGGGAGGAATGGTGGATTGGGGAATTTGAGGAATATCTTAGGACACAGAAAATTGGAATATCCTAGAATGTGATGTGAAATAAAAGTCTCAAATAAAAAGAAAGAAAAAAAATTCTATCATTAAAAGGTAACACTAAAAGGATCATAGGTAATCATTGTTGGGGCTCAGAGGATTAAGGAACCATGAGGCTTTTAAGCTAGCCCCTTTAAATTATTACTTTTATTACCATTACTACTATTATTGTTAATGCCATTACTTGTTGCCATTTGATTATTGGGTTGAACATCAATTAGACAAATNGCTTCGGACTTGTGATTCTGCTTTGAGCACTCCTGAGAGTGCTCTCAAGAGTCCTTTGAGCACTCCTGAGAGGACAAACACTCAATCAGTGCCCTTGCCAGCCACAGAGACTTCTGACAATAAAGGAGGTGTGCCTATTGAAACCAAAGGGTGGAATTCCTTACATTCTGCAGCTGAGAGTGGTAATGAAGGGATCATTGAGATGTTGCTGTCTTCTGGGTTAGACATAGATTCAAGGGGTAATGATGGCACAACACCATTAATGGTGGCAGCTGCGGCTGGAAAAGAGGAGACAGTGAACCTTTTTCTTACCAAAGGAGCAGATCCACAGCTTAAAAACTACACAGGAAGAAATCTGCTTCATGCAGCAGCTGAAGGTGGCAACACTTCCATTGTGGAGAGTATGCTTTCTTATGGCATCGACATTGATTCTAGAGATGATGAATGCTCATCCACCTCATTGATGATAGCTGCTAAGTTGGACAATGTAGAAGTTATGAAATATCTTCTCGAAAAGGGTGCAAATCTGTCTTTGACAACAGGATCTACCAGGAGGAATGTTTTACACATAGCATCTCAGTACGGAAGTGTTGCAGCAATTCAGTTGCTGCTCTCTTCTGGTTTAAGCCTTGATTCAAGAGATAGTGAGGGAAACACGCCATTAGCCTGTGCTGCAGCTTGTGGACAGATAGAGGCTGTAAATTGCCTTCTTGAACATGGAGCAGATCCATCACTAAAAGGGCAAGATGGATGGAGCCTTCTCCATTTTGCTGCTCAGTCTGGCAATGTCACCATCATTGACACCATGCTTTCTAAAGGTCTTAATATTGATTCTAGAGGCGAAACTTTAGGTTTAACCCCATTATTGGTTTCCCTTATAAATGACAAATTGGAGGCAGCAAAGCACTTAATTGAGAAGGGTGCTAATGTATCTTTGAAATTCAATGCAGAAATGAATGCTTTGTCAATTGCAGCCTTAACTGGTTCTGTTGCAGCCATTAAAATGCTGCTTTCACATGGTTTATACATTGATTCTAGAGATGCTGATGGAAACACGCCATTGTTGATGGCTGCAATGTGTGGAAATACAAAGGCTCTAAACTATCTTCTGGCTGAAGGTGCAGATCCATTACTTCAAAATAATAAAGAATTTGGTCTCCATTCAGCTGCTCTTTCTAACGATGTTGCCACTATTGAGGCAGTGCTCTCTAAAAAGTTTGACATAAATGTTAGAGGTAGTTGCATGAGTTTAACACCACTACTGGCTTGGCTGAGTAAGGGCAATTTGAAGGCTGCTAACTATCTGCTCCAGGTGTACAACTGGGATGAGCCTTGTCGTTTCCTTGATAAGATGAATGAACTTGTATTTGGTAAGTCTTCTCATTTTGTGCACTAGACTGGCAGAAGTTTTCTCTAAATTTTGTGTATTTTTAAAACATTACTACTGGTCTTCACCAAAGTGGAGGTGGCAAGAGGTGAATATTTACAGTGCTAGCCACCAACACTGACTGACACCAAAGTGAGTGGTTGTTTTAGTAT